TCCCTTGGTAAATCTTTCCTTCTGGTGCTTGAGGGGGCCCCAAACTATACCTGTGAGGCCCTTCACAAGAACAACTAGCTTCTCTTGCTTTCATTTCTTGCTTTTCCAGAAAGTACCAACTAAATGGTGGTTTCCCATAGAATCTGGCCTATAAGGAATCAGGCCCACAGGGAACAAATGCCCAGGGCAGGCAGACCCATACTTTCCAGATAGGCTGACATTTCAGTTCTTGTTGTAATTTGTAAGCTGGCAGTCAGCTTCCTGAGTGTAAGTCTCTGTGATTTGGCAAATGTTAGTGTGTATCGGTCACGGGCATGTTTAGAAATCTTGGATGGTGGATTTCTGTATCCCTGGGGCTGGAACATTCAGTAAGGAAACACCTATGGGAACCTTAGCAACACCCCGATTTGTGACATGGCCCAAACTCACAAGAGCCCTCCCAATCAATGCACGTTAGAACTGTAACATCCTCTGGTGATCTGAACAGTTTCTCTTAAAAGGACTGGAGCCTGAGACTTTCTTAAAACACTATCTTTGAGACACATAATATTTCGGAAAACTTCTAATTTCTTTAATGACAGTGGGAAGTTGTTTCTGCTGTTCTTGAGAGTCCTTGGTCCCCATTTCCCTTCAGTAATAATGACAGAGCACTGCTTCATTAGAGCTCTTGGAATATTTAATCTTTCCATTCTGAAATTCAATTTTACTGTCAAGGCTCCAAATAAACAGCCAGTGAATTTAGGTTTTCTGATAAATAGCCTACACAATCACTCTGAAATATGCACTAAGAGATCAACGGGTGGTCTCTAGGAATACTCTGAGGCAAAGTTCCAAAGTGTCTGTCACCCTGGTGAGAAAATTCATTGAGCACTCTCTGAAAGGAAGACTGCCCCAGACACAGGAGCCATTGTGATGTTGATGCCCAAGAAGAACCGGATTGCCATCTCTGAACTCCTATCACGAGGCTACATGAAAGAACAGTTTTCCTGGAGACATTTTACCGGTACCGTACCAATGAGGACATCCAATATCTCTGTGATTACCCCCACCTGCCCCCTGAGACTGCGCCTGCCACTTTGCACTGCACCCAGCCTGAGACTGGCAGGCCAAGGCCAAAGGTCTGGAGGGCGAGCGAACTGCAAGACTCACATGAGGGGAAGCTGAAACCACCTCCTACAGATGGACCACTGTGGACCCCGGTGCTGACAAGAAAGCTGGGCCAAGGCTGGGTCAGCAACCTAATTCCAGTTAAGAGACAGATTTGGTCGTGGACATGGTCAACCACCTCAGTAAAGTTGGAGGGATTATTTTGTGTTGAATAAACTTGTGGTCAGAAAATTAAAAAAAAAAAAAAAGATTCATTCCAAAAGGTCCTGTGGTACCCAGCTGAATCTATACCTCAGCAGAAAGTACACTAACCTTGTGGGAATGCTTGAGTAATGCCTACTGATTCAAGGGGTCTGCTGTTGAATGAATGCTGTGTGCTGCTGTCTATCCTAATCATCACAGATCGTCTTATTTTCTGGGTGAATGACTGCAGCCCCAGCCACTGGCAAGATAAGATGACATCTGCTGAAACCGGTGGCAGAATAATGTTTCAGACTCTGTCATTCACATAGCGCCTTTGTGTTAATGATTCTAACCATCTTTACACAGTCAACTCAGCAAACGACAGCCCCATCTCCAGTCACATTGTCACCACTAACCCACCAATACTCTGGGTGTGGCAATAAAGGCTGGTATAACAACCAACGCCAAGCTGGTTGGCTGGTTTTATAGGTCAGAAAGGATGAAAAACGATGCAGTGCGTTGAATTTTCTGAATGCTAAATGTCACATTGTATAATCACTTCTCAGCTGTAGGTATTACTTGGTCTGACAGGTATGGCTTTTGTTTCTCTAAAACTGGGTTTTCTGCTCCTTAAGAACAAGATTAAAACACCTATCAAAGAGATATTGGCTGCTTGTCTCAGGTTGGAGAGATTCCCATGGGGTCCCCCAAAGCACAGAAGCCTCAGTGAGCAAGCCAACGTGAGTCCACCCATGGCTGACAACTTCACTCTGAGTGGAAAACTTCCCTTAATACCTTCAGTAAAAAGCAGACCTTCTAGAAAAGTATGCCATGGAGCCTCTCTCACCTGAGTGAAGTTATTGCCCATGGAAATAGGACTGGGAACTAAAAGGCAGGGTGCCATCGTGTAGGCAACCACAGGCTTTGCCCATTTGTTAAGAGAATGATCTAGACTCTACCTTTGCCTTCAAAATCATATTACCTCAATCAAAACCAAGAAGGAGGCAAATGTCTAGCAAGGCAACATACTTGCTCATCACCATGAAGGTGTTGGCCTTCAAACGCTTCAGGACATGACCACCTTCTTTTTTCAGTCTTGCAAAGGTTGGTGAGAAGGGTGAGATGGGTACTGTGGATGGTCCCCTTGCCTCTACTCCCTGGGGAAGGCCCACCCTCACATCCTTTTGGAAAGGCATGGCAGGTTTCTACAGCCCTGAATAGAACACCTACAGCCCAATTCTAAGCTCCCAAGGGCAGCAACCATGTGTACTCTTCACTTCCCATCAGTCAGCCTGGTAGCCAGCTCAGAGAAGGGACCCGACAAACAGACTGAACGAATGAACATAAAATATAATTGTCATACAGAAGATCCTGAAAAAAATGTATAAGAAATAACATGAAGATTGTGCCATTCTGTGCTCACTAGTCTCTACAAATATTTATTATAAGGCACTAGATTTCTTAGATTCATTTGGATTCCCAGGGAAGCCCACCAAGACACCAAGATAATTCTGTGTTGAATTGACCAGCTGAAGCAAAAAGAACCAGAGGCAGGCTTCTATCATTATTGTGGAGCTTTAGCTGGAGCCTTCCCATACTTGTAGTAACAGTAATTACAGAGACTGGAATAGTTCACATGTATGGGATGTTTACTAACTACCAGGTGCTATGCTAAGGAGTTCATATGCATCATCTCAGATAATCTTCTGAAGAGCTCAGCAAAGTAGGTACAATTGTTCTCACAGTTTTGTAGATGAGAATACTGAGGCTTAGAGACATTCAAGGAGTTGACCTTGAACTGAACAAGTAAGTGACAAAGCCAGGATTCAAGCCAAGGTGTATCAAATGCTACACCCTAGACTCACAACCAGTATACTCTATAAACATTTGCCAAACTTCATTCCTGCATCTTACTGTTTCAAAACATTTACTATGTAGTTGTGACTAAGTGTTAGCATCTGTTTTTGTCAGGGATGATTTTGGCAACTGATAACCCACCACTGTAATAGACTGTCATCCATAAAAAAGGCTCAAGTGATTTTATTTGGTGGGAAATTTCTTTACCAAATGGTCAGCTCTTCTCTGTTCTGTGAATTTATTTCCCTCCTAAAAGATGGTTGGGAAACTGGAAAGTGGGGTTGTTATTACTTAAAAAGAGACCTGTTTTTAGACCAGCACCTCCAACACTAATGTGCAAACAGATCACCTAAGGATCTTGTTAAAATACAGGATCTGATGCACCAGGTCTGGGGTGGGGTCTGAGCATTTCTTTCCTTCTTTTAAAGCTTTTATTTACTTATTTTTAGAGAAAGGGGAAAGGAGGGAGAAATAGAGGGAGAGGCATAGCAAGAGGGAAAGGAATGTGTGGTTGCCTCTCAGGTGGGCCCCACTGGGGACCTGGTCTAAAACCCAGGCATGTGCCCTGATTGGGAATCGAACTGGCGACCCTTTGGTTTGCAGCCCGTGCTCAACCCATTGAGCTATACCAGCCAGGGCCTGAGTATTTCTAAGGAGCTGATAAAGTGCAGTTCATGAACTAGCAATAAGTATCAAGGATCTAGAAAACACCAGGAAGCAGAATCTACATTCTCTGGACCCCAAACTCAATTCCAAGAGAGAATAATAGATGTGAAACAGAATGTCCTTCAGCTAAACAATATAAGAAACTAAGCTACGAAAAGTCTGGTGTGACCTTAGGCTTCAAATCAATCTAACAATCTATGGGGCATAATCTTGGTAGGCACTAACACCATCTAGCTTCTCGAACAATTAAATCCATTCATCTAAGCAGCACATATACCATCAATGCTGTTTAGTATCCTTGGTAAACAACCCTCCAGTATTGTAGCTATTCTACCCGAACCTCAGCTCCAGGGGAATGGTGATGGGTCAAGGTCAAATTCATGTTCCAGTAACAGAGCCTTCATGGGCATGAAGAGGGCCTAGGCCAAGAAAGGCAGGAAGAAGTCTTATGAAAGTCTGAGCAAAGAGCTCTGAGGTACAGAACAGGATGGATAAGACCAAACTGCTGCCCCCTTATAATGTAAAGTGCTTCTAACTTTTCAACATTTATTTTTTATATCACAGCAGAGAAATAATACACCTGAAGTGAGGCAAACAAAGATGAACTGGCTCATTTAAAAAATTACATCACATAATGGGTCCCCAAACCGTAAAAGAAAGCACAGATCAGAGGGATGTGTGTATACGTGTCCATATATGTGCATATGCACATAGAGTATAAGATTAACAGGCCTCACTCTGCATCCTCAGCTTCACAATGTACTTTCTTAGCGACTTCCACAATACTGGCTACTTTACCACCCCCAAGGACCTGCTACATAGATGCTGGAAGTCCATTTACCAAATGGAGCACCCAAGGGTTCTTGCCATTTATTTGGGTGCTTAAATCTGTAGGTAATATACATAGTGCTTTACATAGACTATCTTGTTTCCTCATGTAGCAACCCTACAATTAGGATCACTGCTACCAGCTGACAGATGAGGAAACTGAGGCTTGTTGAAATTAACAAACCTGTTCACAGTCACACGGGCAGCCGAGGACTCAAAACCTGGGTTCGTCACACTAAAATGTCAGTGTTCTTCAATGACACACCAAATTTCCCCCACCTCACATCCCAAGTCCCACTAGGGAAGCCACAATTCCAACAGCACGTGTGGCATGGTGACCAAAAGCCATGAAGACTTACATTCCCCTCCTTTTCAAAGTCTGGTGGAAGCAACTTCACGAAGTTATCAGGGAACACTCCTCGTCTGCCATTGAGCTCTCCTTCCCACCAGCCTAGATCGATGCAGTCCTAAAAAACAAGAGAGCAGAGAGTGAGAAATGGGGCAAGTACGCTCAGAGAGGTCTGACATCCCTTTTCGAGAGAACGGGCCCTTTCTTTGAGGCCGCTATCCATGCGACAATGGTTACTGAGACTCAGTCAGCACAAACTCCAAAGTCAGAGGGGAGAACAAAAGCTTAAGTGTGCTAGAGCTTCTGGCTGGGACTCAAAACCCACTGCTGCTTTTCGATGCCCTGAATCAAAAGATCTTTTTTCTCCCCCTTTAAATATTGGAAGGTATGTATTTTCTTCAGTTTAATTTTACCGAAATAAAAATATCCCATTAACTGCAAACGTGGCTTAGAAAATATCACATGCAGAAATGTCCTCTTTGATTAGCTTGTTCACAAGGCTTGTCGAAATGAAAGAGGGCTTTCTGACGCGCAGCCAAGCATAAGAAAAATCATACGTTCTGCAAGCTCATTAATGCACCAACTGTCCTTCCCCTTCCCCTTTTGATGTGGATGGGACACAACTGTCATCATGGAAAGCCCTTCCCCCACTTCACTGAACTCAATGTTTATTTACCAAATAAATGAGTAAATCTATTAATATATTTTTTCTTCTAGATCAAACCTGCTTCCCTTTGAATAATCCCTATTCTGTCCATTCACTCATCGAACATTTACTCAGTGCTGACTCTGTGCCAGGTGCTACGGAGAGAGCAAGAGCTGGCCTTTGTCAAGCTTCCATTCTGACCCTCACAGCTTCATGGTTCTCTTTATGCCATGAAACCACTTCTAGTTTTCCCCATATCCGATTGGTTGGAAATCTGATTTGTTCTAGTTTTATAACCTATCTTGCATTTGTCCTCTGGGTCCAATTCCACATCTACTGCTCCAGTCCAAGGGCCACCTGGCCTGGTGTAAACCTCCTCATTGGGCATTTCTTCCTGCCCAGTATACATACAATATACACACCACTGTCAAGGAAGCATCTTTGAGTAACAATCTGATCCTCAGACTGTATCAACAACTTCTAGCTAGAGCTCAAAATGAGTGAAGGCTTTAAAAGAAATATATCTGAAGCCGGAAACACTTAAGAAAGTGAGGAGACCATGCTTAGGGCATGTGGAGGGACCCACTCATGGTCCTCCACACCACGGGGTTGGGGAAGGGGCCAGAAGGGCTCAAGCACAAGATGTACAGCTGGCCTAGGACTTGGCTCGTGGGCCCTGGAGGCCATGGTTTATGTATCTCACTTGTGCCTTTCTAGAGTATATATCCCAGCAAGAAGAGGAACACATCTGATTTTTCAGCATTCTACCCCCAGCCCATTGCACAATGGTTCCTTAATCACAAACTCTAAATTCTAGTCCCAACCAACACCATAAAACAGACACCTGAAGCAATCAAGTTCAGATTACCCACAGCAATACGAGGTTCAAAAGACTTCCAACATGACAGCATGCTTATCTTCCCTGGAAAATGACAATGGAAGTCCAGGTAATGATTCTGATCCTGATCCTATCACACCCCCTAGACAACCTAGCATCAGACCCTAAAGAAGGGATTCATGAACAGGGGTGGTGGTGACAGGATGGGATGGTGGCTTCTGAGGCTCTTCCAACCTTGAGATGTCATATCATGAACAACACCAGAAAAGTTTATGGGGCTGGAATTTGTTTACTGCTAATTGTTAAAAATTGTTTTCAGCTACAAGGATCTGCTTCTGTGGAAAGCCTGGCACATGTTTTTTCCTCCTCTTTTTGTAGACAAGTCCTTCTCATCTTCAAAACCCACTTGAAACACACCTGTAGGAAGGTGACTGTGATGAATGCTTTATCTTTTCTCTAACACTCATAATTGTGTTAATTTGCACTTCATGATATTCAATTCAACAGATCTATCAAATGTAAAAATATACTTAAGTTCATCTGCAAGTATTGAACATTAAACATGACCCCTCACCCCAGAGAGCTCAGAGATTTACGTGAAAGACAGACACAATATTATATAAGATCCTTTTTGGTAGCAGGTATCAGCCAAGAGTTCTGGTACCAAAGATGAGAGAATCATTAATAGCATTTCAAATAATCTTAAATCTTTTCATATGTGAAGGGTTTGCTTATGTGAGACTGGACTGCCTTCACATTCATTTCTGATCATTTGCTACAGAATTATGTCCATAAAGGGCATTGAAATATTGTGTAATGCTACATTTCTTTTAAAAGGTGATTTGATTTTGGGTACTGAACACACAGTGAGATATACAGATGATAGAATTGTACCATAGAATTGTACACTTGAAGTCTGTATAAACTAAGCCCAATACATTTATTTTTTTAAAAAAGACTTTCTTTCAGACTTTGTAAATGGTGCAAATCCATGCTTCACCTTAGCCTTATATAAGGAGTAACCCAAGAAGCACTGTAACAAAGCCTTTTGCTTCGTGTGTGAGGAAAAACAATGAACATTTTAATAAGCAAAATCATAATCAGAATAACTGTAGAACTGATGTATGCCTACAGGGGAAAACAGTGCATATGGCATAATTATTATATCTCCCATCAGTGGTGAATGGCTTAAATGGCTCATCTATGCCTTGCTTCTTGAGGAAAACACTAACAGTGCTAATTATTGTGTAATTCAAGGTAAGAGAGGGAAAGAACAAGATAGAATGCAATCTAATTGTTCTGATGAGTATAGGAACAAACACAAGGCTTCTGGATGAGATAAGCACATTCTAAGAAGAAAACAGCCAATGTGACTTAGCATATTAAGAAAAGTGCAAACAGGAGCCTGTTGCAGGACAGAAAACAGCCACAGGGTCAAGGTGTCCACAGTGGGATGCAGACTTACAGAGGACGGAGGCTTCATTTTTTTTTTTAAGCAAAAGAAGCAAATTTAAGGGAAACAGAAACAGTCCAGTTTTGGACTGCAAAATGAGAAGTGAAAATAAGTCCTCCTCAACAAACCAGACAAAACAACTAGTCTTTGATGGCAGAGATGAAGAGAGAATTATTAGGACGAGGACTATGCTTCCTGAAATGTAAAAGAACAGCAAATTCAATTTATTTACTGAGAACGTGAAATATGCAGGATAAAAGCGGGATTCAGGGGGAAAAAGAAAATCGGTGTGTCCTCGTGGCGTGCCCAAGCTCAGAGCCTAGTGGGAGACACATACACAGTGAACGATACGACACAGATGTACTGGCAAGAGTGCTAAGCTGGATTTCAAAACAAGTGGGACCCAGACAAGCTGGGTAGCCTGGAAAGAGAGAATGAGGGCAAGAACTAAGGCAATGAGAAAGGTTAAGGGCAAGATCACTAAGTGTGAAGAAAGGGAAGACAGAGAGTAGGTCACAGAAGAGAGTATTCAAGAACTGGTGCCTAGAGCAGCAGTTTTCAATCTTTTTCATCTCATGGCACATATAAGCTAATTACTAAAATTCTGCAGCACAACACAAAATATACTTTCTGTCAATCTGACAAAATAATAGGTATAATTTTGATTCATTCACACTGGATCAATATTGTTGTGTTGGCTGTTGTTATTTTTAATTTGACAATCTAAGGGAAAAGAGGTCAGTGTCCCTGACTAAATAGTCAACTACTGCAGGTTTTTAAAAAAAATATTTCATTTATTTATTTTTAGAGAGAGGGGAAGGGAGGGAGAAAGAGAAGGAGAGAAACATCAATGTGTGGATGCCTCTCACATGGCCCCCACTGGGGACCTGGCCCGCAACACAGGCATGTGCCCTGACTGGGAATCAAAAACTATTACATGTTTTAAAAATTCTTGTGGCACACTGGTTGAAAATCGCTGGCATACAGTAAAGGCAGTGCTTGACTCTCAGAAGGTTCCCAGCCAATGTCTATTGAAAAGTGATGTGTGGGGTGAGTCAGGATGGCACCCATGTGTGACAAGGGCAGAATTGAGGGCCAGGTGGTTCATGATTTATGAGGCCAGAATGTCATCAGGGTGGACATGGATGTCCCCAAGGAGGATGGCTGGAGGTGAAGGCAAGACAGTGAGACAATAGCTGACCACTGAGGAGAAAGGCAGTGTGGCTAAACTACTAGAAGATTTTAGGGTGACCATATATTTCCAAACCTGGGACACTATAAATAATTACACAAGAACCAGAGGGATAACCTAAGATGATGGTTACCCAGGTGGGTTTTGAGATTTCGATAAGGATGAGAAAAAGGCAGTGTAGGCCGGTGAATTAGGTGGGAGTTTTCAGTGGGAGTCAACGATCAGCATGTAGATGACACTTCCAGAAGAATGATGATACAGAAACAAGCTCTTTTGGTACAAAAGCAGAAGAAAGTAGACCTGGACCCTCATTGAGTCGGGAGTATGGAAAGAATTCTATTTCCGACATAGAATGTTCACTCTTCCATGATCAAGTCCTCAAAATGGCCAAAATGTTTCTCTATGCTTCATTACCATGCACATTTTAGAGTAAAATATACTATTTTTCCTTGTAAGATACAAATGATTTTTTTTTTAAGGAATGAATATGCACAGCCTGAGGTGTGCTGTACTCCAACCTCTATGTTCTGTACTATCTTGGGTGATTCAAGATATCTCGCCCAAGAGTGAGAGGGAAGAGAGCAAAGTTGAGCCATCTGATACATACTCGGTCCACTAGTGATAAAAACTCTGGGTCTCAGTTTATTCATATACATGAAAATCTTTGCAAGGTGTAAAGAGCAACAGGATTTCTGGTGACTGTTACTGTCCTTACTGTGATTCTATGGACTGGTCCCAGAGACCTTGAGGGATAATGTGGCTTGAAAGGCTTCTTAATTAAGCTCACATGCCATTTGTCACATGACTCAGCACCATCCTCAGGCGAAACCCCCTGGCAGCAGTTCACACACTTGGAGGATGGCCACGGGGAGAGATGCCAGGGCCTCAGGGTGTGTCTGAGGAAGGCGGCGTTGCCCACACCCCAATGCCATGCCTGAGTCGGCTTGATCCTGCCACAGGGGCCCTGGAAAACTTGGCTGAAGTGTTCT